CTGGGTGCTGCTTAAGAGTTGAGTACCGCAAGACAGTCCTGAGTCCCCTAATGTTTCCCCCATACATAAATGAGCTGTCAAATGTCACGAAATCCTCTACTATTCTCCACGCCGATGATGTAGGAATCCGGCCGAAAATTAAGAATGACGGGGATATACTTGCACTTCAGGTGCACTCAAGCGGCTTTTTTACCTGGCTGGAGAAATCGCCTATGCCTATCAACGAAGGTAAATGTGTGAGCATGCGCATTGGAGGCACAAATGGCAATATGTACTATATTGGTGGTATTCCTCCCCCCTCAGCACTGACCCACAATGACTTTAGAGTCATAGGAAATCATGGCATAGATTGATCACGGCTTGGGGTTTTAGGAGAATTTGAACATTACGCAGAACGCCCGCACCAATAAATAATTGGTGATGCGGTCGTCACCTCATACACGTCTCCAGCTAGAAATAAACAAAGAACTTTACACAGCAGGCAAATCCTTGTTTGAAAGTGACTCAGACATTCTGAAAAAAGCCCAGATGGACGTCAGTCTTATGATTTATGCAATGGCTGGCCTAACCAATGAAGGTCGACCTACGGAACCGAACCTCTGCTCTTCATGATACCATAGACAGAAGAAAGATCTATTCCAGTCACACAGGAATACAAGAAATGAATGAAACGTCAACCCCCATCAGGCATACCAGAGCTCCAGCAAGATAGTGAGCACGTCTACTCACAGGATTCTACCAAAGACCTGGAACCGTCTCTCAAGACCTAGAAGCGAGTGAGAACTAATCAACTGACTTCCAGTTAAACTGTCAAGGTCAGCATCAATGTCGAAGCCGTCAAATCCTAGGCTATTGATTCTAGAGAAGTGCGTGACGCTGCGGATCACTCCCCCCTTAGTGGGTTCATGAGGGCCCTAAGACGATGCCAGCCGGAAGTAAAAACCCAGTGGTTTCTCCACTGGTAAAACTCTTCCCATGGGCTCATTGCGAGAAGTGGCCCCTGGTTGTCTGAACTTCTTCTAGGGTGTCACGGCAATTAAAAAATAAAATACAATAAATCGAATCGTACGTCGATCGCAGTCCTCAGTTCCTTTTGACGTTCCGTTCAGTGCTCGCTGCACCTGGAATATAAATAAAAGTCCTTAATACCACAAAAACATTTCGTAAAAATGGGAATTACTTATAAATAAACATATCGAAAAATAAAAATTAACGCTTATTTTCACCGTTTCTTTTTTTAAAAGTTTCATTACATGGTAATAAAAATCGATGTAAAAAGGCAGAGTGTACGAGGGTTTGCACATTGCCGGTAAATAAGAAAAATGGTGCCTCGGAAAAAATTTTGTAAGTAAAAAAATATGGTTGGAACATTTTATTTCCCACCACTCAGTTGAATATTACTTTAAATACTCCGGGAACCCGGCGGTTTGACCTGATCGTGTTTTCTGTTGCACCGACGGTCGTTGCAACTGTGCATTACCAGGCACATCGTCAAGAATTTCGATAATTGGGTTATCCGCCGGTCAGCTATAGTGAGCTGAAACGTCACTTATGACGGGGTTGCCTTTGAAATAGGCTGGTTTCAAACGGTCGATACTGACAGTATCTTCACGTCCATCTCGCTCAATTATGTGGAATTTCTCGTGTCGCTTAATCACTTTGAATGGCCCGTCGTAGGGTTGTTCAAGTGGTCGACGAACAGCGTCGTAGCGAATAAACACGTGTGATGTCTTTTATGAACTGGGGTGAACGAAGACATTAGACGTTTGAGGTCTAACAGAAGGCTTAACTGAACGCATTGCGTTTGTAAGCCTAGTCACGTACGATGTCCTGTCGAAAACATGTTTGAAAGTTGAAGGGGAAACAAATTCACCTGGTAGGCGAAGAGTAGTCCCATAGACGAGTTCTGCAGAGGTGCATCCAGCATCAGCTTTCAACGCGTCACGAATACCTAGTAGGACTAGAGGCAGAGAATCGGTCCACTGAGGTATGTCTGTAGCTGAAAGGGAGCTTTCAGCTGTCAATGGAAACGCTCTACCATACCATTTGCTTGTGGGTGGTAGGCTGTCATTCGTAACCGAGTGGAACCTAAAACTGCAGTTAAAGCGCGAAGTAATCCACACTTGAATTGGCGCCCACAGTCGGTTGTGACGTAAGATGGACATCCGAAGTTCGCGATCCATCTTCCCATGAAAACACGATCGACAGTTTCAGCAATAATATCTTTAATAGGTGCTGTTTCTGGCCATCGCGTAAAACGATCCACACAAGTGAAAAGGTAAGCACGTCCATTAGATTCTCTTAGAGGTCCTACAATGTCTATATGGATTTGGTCGAAACGCATGTCTGGGGCTAGAAAAGAACCTAAAGGGCTTTTCGTGTCTCATGACTTTGCACTTCTGACAAGCTAAGCACGACTGAGCCCACTCCTTAACGTTTTTATTTATCCCCGGCCAGCAGAAACGTTGTGCAACAAGCCTGACGGTGGCTCGTACACCTGGATGGGACAGTTTGTGTAACGTACTGAAGATGTTGCGTCGACAACTCTTTGTAACTATTGGGCGTGGTTGACTAGTAGAGACATCGCGTAAAATTGTATCCCCACCTGACCCTACTGGACACACGTGTAGCCTGAGAGATGTGGACGACAACCCACAATGCAGCTTAAGGTCTTCTTTTTGACACCAAGCTAGTTCAACAAGATCAATGCCCTTGATATGATTTATCGAAGCCATACGAGATGGTGCGTCGGCCACGGAGTTATTTGCTCCAGAAATGTGGCGGATATCTTACGTGAACTGGGAAATGTAATCCAGCTGTCGCGACTCACGCGGGGAGTATTTGTCAGACGCCGAGCTGAGGGAAAACGTTAACGGTTTGTGAAAATAATGAAGTCACGACCTTCCACCGAATGTCGAAAATGGTGTACAGAACAGTACATAGCTGGGAGTTCCCTACCAAATGTACTGTATCTTGTTTTCACGTCTTGCAGCCGCTTCGAGAAAAAAACTGAAGGTTTCCACTGGTTGTCGGTCAACTGTTGCAAAACTGCTGAGTCAGATGCATCAACAGCAATACTCAGAGCACTCGGGTCGTGACGCATAAGCATGGTTGTGTTTGGAATATCTCCCTTGACTTTAGAGAAAGCAAGTCTGACTACGTTGTCCAGAGTCACACACTTCGTAGTTCCCCGAAGTAGTCCTGTGAGTGGTCTCATGATAGAGGCACAGTTGGGGATAAACCTTCGGCAATAACTTACCAGGCCATTGAAAGTGAGGAGATGTTTCACAGTGGTCGGCCCTGGATAGTATGTGATAGCCGCCACTTTATCTTTCAATGGGCGTATACCTTTGTTGTCAATGGCATGCCCAAGGAAGCTGAGTGATTCAACTCCTATTTCACACTTCTGTAAGTTGACTGTTATGCCATGTTTTTTAAGTCTTTCGAATACGAGGTCCAAATGTTTAATGTGAGTTCCCCTATCTGGACTCGCAGTTAGACAGTCATCGATGTAGACATGAACAAAATTCAAACCACGGAAGACATCATCCATAAAGCGTTGGAATGTTTATGCTGCATTCCGAAGACCAAATGGCATGCGCAGGAATTCAAACAGGCCAAAAGGAGTAATAATGGCTGTTTTCGCGATATCTTCTGCTGACAGGTTTTAGATCATACGCTTTGACCAGATTGATTTTGGAGAAAATGTTCGTTCCACAGAATGCTGCAGTCAAATCGTAAACATGAAGTATCGGGTAGCAGTCCGGAGTTGTTTTGGCCCTAAGCCTTCGGTAGTCACCGGTTGGAAGCCAGTCGTTGTTATCCTTTTTGGGAACCATGTGCAATGGTGATGCCCGAGGGCTACTTGAAGGTTTTGTAATGCCCAGTTCGATCATGTGGTCGAGCTCGCTTTTCGCCATTTTGAGCTTATCGGGGTCTAGACGGCGCGCTTCGGATGCCACAGGTGGATCTGTGGTTGTGACGTGACTCATAACATTGCTGGTTATGCACGGAAGAGTGTGCCTCGGTTGTCGCAACTCTGGATATTTCTCCAAAACTGCCTGGTAGGACGCGTCGCCTGATTGTTTGATTCTAACGGTGGCCGAACTCGGACCTACATAGGTGGTGCCACCAATAGATAACTTTGCGTTTTTATCTATCAGTCATCGACGACGAGCATCTATCAGTAGATCATAATGGTTTAGCAAATCGATGCCAATGATGGGCATAGAAATGTCAGCCAGGAGGAAAATCCAGTGAATAGGTTTACGTAAACCTAAGTCGAGGTAGGCACACTGTCCCCCAAGTGTTGCGATCGCCTTGCCGTTAGCTACCTGGAGATAGGAGGATGGATCCTGATGATGTTCCTTTATCGGTGCGGAAAGAACACTAATTCCTGTGCAGGTGTCGATGAGGTGGCGATCTTCCGTTTCAATATCCATGACGTATAGCAAACGGCTCTTTCCGCCGGCTACGGTTGCCGTGAACACGTGCCGGCGTGACAGTTGCTAGAGTTTGTGTCCTTGTTAAAACTGCATGAAAAGACGTTGGATACTCGAGGGAATATAGCACGAAAATACAAAGGTAAAGGACGAAGATAGTCTCCACAGAGTACTGATTGTCACGTCGAACTATGGACTGGAAATGGATTCCAGGAGAAGTAGTGTCCAGATTATCAAATGACCAGTTCATTTGAGCTCTGGAAAAGTTCAGAGTTCTGCTGGAAAAGGGTTGATATAAGGCTCATAGCATTCTATCCTTGAACAACATCTGAAATCTTATTCACCTTTGCACTCTCTCTCTCTGATAAACAGGTATGTGGTTGGTGGGTGACTGGGTATGCTAAATCTTAATCTTTTATTGACGTAAAACCTCTGACTGATATCTATGATGTGGCAGGAAAACCAAATAACCGTGTATGGTATTGAATATTGAGTTCCATACGATGGGTTTGGTGCTATGTTTAAAAAGGTTTATGTTGGAAGTCTTGACGGGATTTGATGCAGTCCGACGGCGATAAATACATAGCTAAACGACCTGACCAACGTTTGCGTTACTCAAGAACTGAGGTTTTAGCGCGCTGCGATTATGGGAAGTCTATATTACCGCTGAATAAGTCATATGATGAATTGGCGAAGTTTATGGTAAGTCAGGATGACTTTTAAAATATCTTTTTAAATGCAGTAAGAGTCATTTTTCGTGTTATCTAAGGTGTTCAAGTAGCTTACTAAGACTGATTACGTTTAGTACATTGTCAATAGGGAATGAATTTGGTGCTAGAACTTGGACAGCAATTGCTCCAGTCTGTGGAGCTCAATGTGCTGCATGTAGGACTATGCGTAAAATTGTGTTTTATAAAAACAGACTAAAAGTTTCCAAGCATTTGCTGTTGGCAAGCTCGGATCTCTCCTTACATCTGTCTACTTAGATAACTGTCGATGACGCATTCATTTTCATAAACATTTGTTATTCTTTATTTCGCTGGCATTTTTGTAAATTAACCAGCCTTCATATAATTCCTATCGTAATGATGTTAATGGCTGAAAAATCGCTTTGTCTACTGATAAGCATGGTCATCGATGACATCGATTTCTAGCAAACCTATATTCATTGTTCTGCTGTTTGCAGTAACGTCATATACATTTGTACGACATATCTCGAAAGTTCCTCTAAGACGCACATCATAAAGAGATGTTTAGCATCTTTAGAACTTAGAATTACCATCCCCACTTGATTGACTTAAAGATGTTTGCCATAAGTTGGTTATGCATATGCACATTAATAGCGTTTGTCGGTCTCAGTGAATTACTTCGATGAAGTTCCTAGTCCACCAAATTGCAAAGTATTTATTGTACACTTATCCCGTGATCTGGAAATAGTCTAGGTGTTACACCAAGACCTGGAAAAAGCTAGTTGTAAAACTTGTCAGGCGTTGTTTCGTGGGGTTCCTATCTATCACCTGAGCAGAGTAGATTGAGTTCTAATTGGAGTCTTTCGGACAGCCGGTACTGGTGATCGGAGACCACGTGGTACCGCTCAGAATTGGTTGAGATAGTAACAGACTGACTAACAGAACCAACGGAGAACCTCGCACAAACGTGCCGACCGATGGCTGCTACCCTGACGTGGTGGTCGGGCTTGCATATCACAATGACCCAACGAGCTATGCTGGTGGAACACTTTTCCCCCCATGGTCCTACCATACCGGAAAGGTCTGTTGGGTAGTGGTTAGACGAAAAGCAGTTACCGTTTTGGTGCAAATTAATACACTATGATGGACGTTTGGGGGTGAAGTCGTACTGCTGCTAGCTGGACGGGATGTGACAGCAGTAAGGTGTATCCCTTGGATGACCAGCAGTGTCGTGCTGATGCTGCCTTCTCAGTGGAAGGGGGGGGGTTAGAAAAGGTAGGCCCCAGAAATTACACACTCCACCATACCTTACGGTCTACCGGGCCGGCAGTGTTGGTTCATTTGTCGTTTCCTTTCGACCATCCTGCCCCAAACCAACAAAAGTTCAAAACAATTATACACAAAAGGCCACACGTGACAGGCCTCAAGCAGATGTCCGATGGGCTTTGCGCTCACACAAATCTCTTTCAGGTACCTCAAAAAGAAATAGCCTTCCATGGTGTTGGCAGCCGGGAAGTGTCAACCGCCCTCACAACTCTCTCAGCACCCAAGTTTCTTCAGACTGCTATCTACCTACCCCATCATTACCTGATCTTCTTTCACATCTCTTAACTAACGATACTACATCATATTTCTCCTAGTTCTGCAGCCTTCGACAACGATCTGAATCAACATGACAGCACCCCTAGTCTCCTTAAACTACGCTCCGAATTACACATTGGGACCTCCAATGTCCGCACCCTCTGTCAAATTGGTCAACAGGCTTCGTTAGCAAAGACTCTAGCAACTCGGGCCATGGATGTGTGCTGTGTTTGTGGGACTCCCATACAGGACCCAAGTGCAGTTGTCCACCTGACTTCTCCCGGCCAATTCGGTGAATCCGCAAAATTCACCCTTCAAGTTTCTGAAGATTCGACAGCTAGCTCTCGCGGTCTTGCAGGTGTAGGCATAGCACTAAGCACTAGAGCAGAAAGCTCACTACTGGACTGGATGCCAGTTGATAGTTGCCTCTGCGCTATGAGGCTGAACGACATAGTGATAACTAAAAGGAATAGTGAGACTCGCCGTTGTCTCTTTATAATCTCTGCTTACGCACCCACTGACTGTAGTTCGGATGAAGTGAAGGACGAGTTCTACCATAAACTGTCTATCCTCCTCTCGAAAGCCAAACGTTCAGACGTGGTGGTTGTTGCAGGTGACTTCAATGCACAGATGGGTAGACTGAGTGAGGCAGAAATGTACTTAGGTGGCACTTTCTGACTTGCAGCTGAACGAATAGATAACGGTGATCGCTTACTACAACTATGCTCAGATAATCGCCTATTTTTAGCCACCACTGATTTCAGACATAAAGAAAGGCACTGTCTGACGTGGCGTCCACCGAGCTCAACTCAGCGATGGACACAGATAGACCACATTGCTATTAGTCATCGCTGGAGAGGATCGGTGGAAGACTGCCGCTCTTTCTGGAGTACGTGTTTGGATAGCGACCATGCGTTGATCCGAGCGCGGATATGCCTGCGTCTCAATGGACGTAGAAAAAATTTGGCAACAAAACCACTACGAGTGCTGCCGGAAAACGGAAACATCAAAGCCGTGTTCAGTGAGAAGTTGGCTAGGTAGTTATCGGAACAAAATACTGTCACTCATCCAGAAGAAGCTTGGTGCCATCTTCAATCTGCTGTAAAAGCAGTACTGAAGACTGTAACCGACTCCAAAATAACGGCTAAAAAGAGCCAGTGGATATCAGCAGCTTCTTCTGAACTAATGGATGCACGTGAATGCATCCCTGCAGGCTCTGTGTACAATGAAGAGCGAGCGCAACTTAGAAGTAGACTTAGAAAAATTCTACTCAACGACCGCGAACAGTGGTTGTCAGCGAAGGCTAAAGAGATGGAAAAGGTATTGGCGATTGGAAACAGTAGACAGTTATTTAGACTTATTCAGGAGACTGAGGTGAAAGGTCAACAACAGTTAATGAGGCTATAGCGGAGAAGGACGGATATGCGATTCACTCGCAGGGGAGACGACTAGAACGATAGAGAGGACACTTTGACGAACAGTTTAACTGGCCTCCAGCCACGATTGCGTTGCCCACTATCCAGTTGAATCCTGAATAGGACATTGAGATAGGCCCACCAATACTTGCCGAAGTCGAGAAAGCTGTAGGTAACTTGAAATGAGGAAAGGCAGCAGGACCAGACGGAATAACTCCTGAGGAATATAAGGATAGTGATAAGGTGCTCTTAGGTTATCGGAAGTGTCAACTAGTATATGGGAATGAAATACGATCCCTTCTGACTGGTCTAAATCACTGATTATTCCAGTTTTCAAGAAAGGTGAGAAGTCCTCTCGTAATAACCACAGAGGGATTAGCCGGACAAACAGTGTCCAAGATTCTAGGTTTCATGATTTTTCGACGCCTGAATGGAGCTCGGGAACAGCAAGCCCGATAAAACCAGGCAGGCTTTAGACCCGGCCGTGGGTGTATTCAGCAAATATTCACACTGCTGGGTTCTGAAACATGGGCACGCTTACCAACGCCCGATACTAGCTGTATTTTCTCGACCTGAAGGTGGTATTCCACTCCATTGATCGAGAAGTCTTATGGCAATGTCTGTCACTGAAAGGCGTACCGAATAAGTACATCATCTTATTGAAGGCTGTCTACTCGAAAACCTGTGGGCGTGTTAGAGCCTATGGTGAGATGTCCAGGGAGCTATGCTCATCGAGTGGTGTCCGCCAAGGATGCCCACTCTCTCCATTCTTATTGGATTTTATCATGAATATTCTTATGGAGGTCTCTCTCTCATCATCTGATTACACATACGTTGACCTAATCGCTGAAGAATTTTCGTTTTACCTAGAATACACAGATATCATAGTCCTGTTACGTGAAGACGCTGACAAGATGCAGAGTCTTCTGAACACTGAGTGGTAATTTGAGAATGTTAGGTGTGAATTAAATAATTTTCATCTGCTTATCTGATTGTGGTTTATATTATCTGAGCCTTGATTCTTTGTTGGCGTTTCAACTTGAAGCTTGACGACATATGGGTAATCTTCATGAGCATAACGCTGATGGTCTAGCCAAGCCTGGTTATGAAACATCCACGGTTCAGAAAACACTAAATCATCGTTATTTTTATCCTTAGCTGCAAATATCTTTCATCGTTGCATTTTTTCATCTTCGATGATGTGGAATGCACGCAGTCCTGGTTGGAGATGATAAAATAATGTAGTCTCCTGAATGTTAAGCAGAAATCTGATTTTGTCTCGTATCCATTGTGAACATGTAAAATGATGCTTCGGATCTGGTTTGTTGTAACTCCCAGTTCCAGGATATGAAGCAAATTAGGATAGTATGTTGACCACACGCCACTGATTCTAAAGGGATATCTATCTCAAATGTTGAGTATGTTGTGAAATATTTTGCTGTTTCTGGTTTATGGTCGAGAAAAAAGCCGTTGTATGTAGACGATAAAGCTAGACTACAGATTATAAATTGTTAATATCTTCATAGTATCCTGACCGATAACTCCTACCTTGATATGGCGATTGGGCTTGCAAATTACAATGATCTGAGTTATTCTGGTGGTACACTTGTTACTTTGTGGTTATAAAATAACCTGAAAGCTTTGTTGGATAGTTGTACGATAAAAGTAGTCACCGTTCTAGTGTAAATTGCTATACGATGATAAGGATATGGGGGGGGGGGGTGGAGTTGTATTCCTGCCTAGAGGGGTGATCGGATAACCACCCATTTCTTTCTAGCCGTAACTTCTGATATATTGAAAGACATCCTCTGACGTAGTATCCGCCGCCTTCAACTCATTGGTGGATATGGATAGACTATAAGCCTATGAGTTACCTTAAAAAAGGGTTGGTGAAAAACTGTCGTTCCTCTTATGGTACGTGTTCGGACCGTGAGCATATCTGCATATAATTGGATGTAAAGAAAGTAAAATTACACTACCATTCTGACCACAACTGGTCAATGAAAAAACTAAGTCT